ATGCACGTCTACCCATTTGATATTCCTTTACACATGTTATTTAATCCCTCTTTGATTTACTTCAACAGGCGAACCACTTCTTCAGTGGCCCTTCTCCTGCTTCTCGGTGTTGAGGGTTTTCGGCAGACGATTACCAATTCGATTTCTTGTTTCGCTAACGGTTGTTATCCTTGATTTGACGTTTATCTTGATTATGATAAGAGATTAGAGCCATATGATAAACAGCCACTACAGTCTCATTTCATTGAAGCACTTACGGGTGTTTGTCTACGAGGTGGCTTCATTGTATGTATGTAACACTGAATTAGGAACGTGCAAGGTGACAACAATGAAAATAACAAGTGAGGTCAAACAAAACAAGCTACAAACCATGAACCTAAACTAGATGAAACAACTAGTTCAATATTTTCCAAATTTGTTTTGCTCTACTCCAAACTGCCTGGAATGCATGCTATTTGCACTTTGCTTTTACCCGTCTGTCCGGAAATTTTATTGTCCTTCTGGGGGATCGCATGGAACTATGCGAACAATGCGAAATGAGCGGTACACTGACCTGGACTTTTTGTTCCAGTTTTATCGCGATTGCCATGAGCATGGTCATTTCGGCCGTGCGAGATTTCAATTGTTTCGTGGTCTGGTTCACCTCGGTATGATGCGCGTTCATTTTTTTCGCTAATTGTAGTGTAACATCCCTGGAAAGGGGGAAGGAGATGAGAATTGAGAAAACGACAGCAATGAACGAGTAAAAGTGTTGTGAAAAAACCCGATCGTATATCCCTTTTTTACAGAAGAGGTGGTAATCAGAATGCGTAGTTAGTTGACTGAGGGTTGTGAAATCAGTATGTTGTTTTCCTCTTCCCCAGAAATTCACTGTTTTGTTTGTCAACACCAGATGAAAGATTGTACTGTGATCCGAAATCTTTGTTTCAACTGGATCGCAAGAAGCACTCCCGTGGAATAAGTGCAATTCACTTCAGTTTTGTAAAGTAGTCATTCTCGCACTGGTTGGTTTCGTTCAGTTGTCCATTTGGTTAACCAAGGAAAAATAAAATGGGATAAGAAGGTAAAGCACCGGATGCAGTAAAAGAATACAGCTACTTCCCCTTCAGTTCGCTTCATTTGTATCATTATCTATGCAATAAAAGGAAGCAAAACTGAAAAGAGAAAAGAAAACAGGTGAAAGAAAGAGTGTTTAGAAAATAAGTAGACACTAGAGCAGTTTTGTTAATCACCATCATGGTTAATGGTGTGTCCAAACGTAGATTAGTTTGACCACCAGGTCTTCAACCGGAAAGCCTAGTGGGATCTGCTCGAGTAGATCGTTTCAACGCCTCATGTCCTGCAACTTGCTGTGAAAAATATCGTACACTGATGAAGTGCCACGCTTACCACCACAATCTTTGAAGGGCAGTCGATTTTGGCAATACTCAAGCGAGATTACCTAAAACCTTGCCTTCGGTCTCGGTATAGGTGATTGAGTTGCTTTACTAGACTCGTAAATTGCGATATAGAAAGTTATCTTCAAACTGATAAATTTCTGTGGCCTTGGACCTAATCCTTATATATATATATATATATATATATATATATATATATATATATATATATA